TGTGTGTGTGTGTGTGTGTGTGTGTGTGTAGGGGGCATTTGTCACAGTGTACAGGTAGAGATCAGGGACAAGGTGTAGGTGACGGGTCTTTCCTTCTACTACGTGAATCCCAGGAATTGAACTCAGGACATTAGGTTTGGCAGCAAGCAACTTTACCTGGTGAGCCAGCTCACCAGTCTCCTTTTTCTTGTTACTTTTATAGTTATCACATGAAATTAGAATATCTTTGTCCTTGTTATACCACAAAGTTCTGTATTTAGTCATTTAATATATTTCAACATGAAGGAAATGATTTTACAGGACAAAGGGCCAAAGAGCCTTTCTGACATGGTCTGTTGAGATGTTGACCCTCTGAATTTCACATTTGGAGAACTTATTTATCTCTTTTTTGGGGGTGGTGGGAGGTTCAAGACAGGGTTTCTCTGTGGCTTTGGAGGTTGTCCTGAAACTAGCTCTTGTAGACCAGGCTGGTCTCAAACTCATAGAGATTCGCCTGCCTCTGCCTCTGCTTCCTGAGTGCTGGGAATAAAGGCATGCACCACCACCACCTGGCCCTTATTTATCTCTTTATACCAGGGACTATCATTTGCCTTACATAACTGAAATTTTGGAAGGCACTAGACGAGAAGGTGAAAATGGAATAAGTTCATGTCATGTACATTAACAAGTACTCATGACTATTGTTAAAACTGCATTTGCTAAATTTTAAATTGCATTGTCAAGAAGCTTTATGGTCAAATAAGGCTTATTTCTCAAGATAATTATGAAGAATAATGAGCATATAGGTCACTAAAACTCCATCATGTCCTGTGGGCCAATCTTAGTTGTATTAAGTAAGGGCATTTTTTGTGCTATTGGTCCTTTATGGACACACTGTGATAAAAGTACAATGACCTAAGTGTGGCATGTGGGAAAACTGCAATGGAAGAATGTTATCTCTTTTTCTATTTTCCAAGAAATCAATTTCTCTTAAAAAAAATAGTAGAAAGTAGATGCTATCCACAGGTTGGCTCAGATCAATTTCGCTTTGATTTGGATTCATGACCAGACCAGGATTTATGCAACAATCCTTTGCCAATCTTGTTGCCAAAAACTCTGCTGTCGAGTGTTATACAGACCACAGCTGGCCATTTAATGCCATGAAACATGGAAAGTATGAGCTTCCTCATACTGGCTTTTTGAAACTCTTATTTGACCTGAGAGTTTTAGTCATGTCAAAGGAAAGTTGACCCTTGAGATTTTGGAAGTTTGAACCAGCTAGAGCCTTTACCATGGAATAAGAGTAGGGTCTACTCAAAGGCAAGTAACAGCCAAGAGAGCAGAGAGGGCTCTGGTCTTGCCTGCTATGGTGTGATAGGTAGGCCAACTGACCTCTTTGGATTCAAATCTTTCAGCTGAGATCCATGGGGTGGGGCTGGAAAACTCGGTGTTCCTAAGTCAAAATACCAAGATTTTTAAAATGCCAGCTCTGTGACAGTGAAATGTGACACTGTGCTAACAGGTTCAGATGATACTGGAGCAGTGGGGAGGAGAAATGAAGACTGATTTTGCTGAGAGGAGAGCTAGCAATAACACAAACAGTGTAAAAACACTTTGCGCAGTGTGGAATTCCCTCTGTCTGAACTTTTAGAGCTCAGTATAATAACAAACCTGGTGGCAAAAGGGGGCTAGCATATGTGACTATCAGACCCAAGAGTAAGGCAGGATATAACTAACAAGCAAGGGAAATGAAGGGGGCATGGAAGGAAGAGGACCCCTTAGGCCAGGAGTGTAGTCCTGTGGTTCCAGGAATTGAACTCGTCTTCAGGCTTGGTGGTAAGCGCCATAACCCACTGAGGCATCTCACAGGCTCCATTTTATAAGCCTGTAACCCTGCACACAACATTCCAATAACCTTATAACCTCATTTATTGAAGAAAATTTCTTTAGATAAAAATAAGCATACCAGTGTATCTTAACTTCCTTTTCTCTTTCAGTTGTTTTTGAGACGACGTTTGGCTCTAGCCCACGGTGACCTAGAACTTACTCTGTTGCCCAGGCTAGCCTCAAAGTAAAGGCTATCCCTCTGCCTCAGTTTATTGATTATTGGAGTTTCGGTTGCCAGCCACTATCCACACCTGCACCTCCCTTAATCTCTCTTTTAAACAGTATAACTTCAAAACCACAGGAAGCACCAGCTTCTATACCTAGGCTTGCTTTCCATCTTGAAAGCAAAGTATGAGCTTCCTCATCTGGACACTGTCATGCCTACTTAAGCGTCTCTCAAGGCCCTTGCTTAAGCTAGAGAAGATATTTTCTTGATAATCCCACAAGTTCTGCTTCATACTGGCTTTTTGAAATTCTTTTCCGTGGCCTAAGGTTCTGGCTTCACCTGAGAGGAGGTCTCTGAAAAGAACCCAGCTCACTCAGGAGATGGCTCGCTCAGCAGTTAAAGGAGAATGCCTCCAAGGCCGACACCCTGAGTGCTAACCGGATCTGGGATCCACGTGGTGGAAGATGAACTCTCCAGAAAATTCTCTGACTTCCACAAGCTTGCTGTGGCAGGAAACCCCCTCCAACCCCTCCATGAAATTAATAAGTAAATAAATGTGGGATGTTTTGTTTGCTTAAAAGGAGAAGAACCCAGGCTGTGCCTCCGAAAGAAATGTTTGCATTTTTTTAAATTCAGGAAGCGGTAATTCTGTTGCTTGCCCAGTCTTACAACAGCGAAGAGGGGCGGGAACGGGGAGGGCTTTCAGATTCACCGGTAGCACTAATGCAAGTTCCCAGGAACCCCAGAAGGAATTCCGCGGGGCTTAGGACACGATGCAGCCACCGCTAACAGGGAGCACACGGCGCCTTTCAGTTAACCGGAGCTTATAGCTAGCACTGTTTAGTCCCAGCAGGTTCATCGAGCCTGGGACCAGGTCTGTGACATCCTCCGGCCAGGCGCGGCGGGGGGGCCGCGCGTGCACCTGTGGCCCCCCCAAATGGTCAGGCTTGGCTCTCCAGGCTTTTCTGTCGCTTTGCTGTCCCACTTACAGTGTCAGCCTGAAGTGGGAAGCCGAGCTGCAGGAGCACGCAGGTCGCAGCAACCCTGGCCCTGAGCCTTGCCTACACCCCCCCCGCCGCATTCCCTCCCTGCTTGGCTGCGGAAGGCGCTCAGCTGACCTGGGGGCGGGTCCGGGCTCTGGGCGGGGACAGAGCGACAGAGTCTCGGCTAGGGCTGGGGTAACACTGCCGGGTCCTTGCTGCTAGCGGTCAGCATGCATCTCCACCTGCTCGCGCTGTTGGCGCTGTGCGGGGCGGGCTGCGCGGTGGCGGGTCCCAGCTACAGCCTGCAGGGGAGCTGGTGGGTGAGCCAGGGGAACGGCTCCCTGGAGCTACCGGGGACTGTCCCCGGCTGCGTGTACAGAGCCCTGTACCAGCACGGGCTGATCCAGGTAGGACTCGCTGTCACCCCTCCGTGCGGTCCAGGTCTGTCTGTCTGTCTGTGCTGCTGTGGGCAGTTGGGGAAATTGCCTGGCAGAGGGGGTTCAGGTCAGTGGCGGACATTTATGTACCCACGCTGGGCCATCGGTGACCCTGGGAAGCGGAAGTTGCCTATAGAAAGCAGTATGTCTGCTGTCTGCTTACTAAAGCACTTGATAAGACTTGCCTCTCTGCTAAGGCCAGGGTTACTGTTTCAACCATCTGGATGTTTGCAGGAACGCTTGGTTAATCATAGTTCATTGACTGTAGCGTCTCGGGTTTGCATGTTCGCTTTTGAAGCCTCGGGGAGTCTGGTCTGAAATAACGCAAGGGACTGGAGAGTCACGAATAAAGTTTAGTTGTTGGTGCTCATTTGTAAAGCCTAAATAAATATTTAGGCTGTGCGGGTGTTTTGGGAATGAAACCCAGAGCCAGGAATCTGCTAAGCACACATTGTACCACCGAACCACACCCCAGTCCAAAATCTAAATAACACTTTAATTTGTTTTTTACATGGGGTAATAGGGTTTCATTGTGACATGTTCATGCGAGTGTACCACGTATCCTGCTTATACTCACGCTTTACTTTGTCTTGCCTCCAGTTGATCCCTCCCTCTTTCCAAGTAGTTTCTTTTCACTATTGTGCTCTATATACATATGCACACATGTATTTAAAACTAGATTCAACATGAGTAAAAACATGCCATTTCTTACTTGTCTTTCTGAATCTGGTTTATTTTACCTAACTCTATTATTATTATTATTATTATTATTATTATTATTATTATTATTTAGACAGGGTTTCATGTAATTCAAGCTGGTTTTGAACTACCAATGAAACTGAGGGTAATCTTGAACTCCTGATCCTCCTGCCTCTGCCTCTCATGTGCTGGAGATAAAAGCGTGTGCCACCATGCACAGGCTAATTACATTTATCTGTATGGCTATGGTGTGTGTGTGTGTGTGTGTGTGTGTGTGTGTGTGTGTGTGTGTGTGTGTGTGTGTTCGCGTGTTCGCGACAGAACCTAGAGCATGCCAGGCAAGTGCCCTAGCATTGGAATATACCCCCTACACACACAAACTACCTTTGACTGTTGCGATGACATTTGTAGTTTTCCTAAATGCTAAAATAGTCAAACTTTGTGCGAAATTTCTGATCCG